AGGCAGTAAACCCTTAGATTGCATCCAAGCCTACTCCATGTAATGCTGTTTTAAACCCTGAAAATTATGTTGAGGTTGCCACCATGATAAATGTCTTTCAGCTTGATTTGAACTGTTGTGTGCAGCTGGTTTTACATGGCATAACCTTGTTTACCTTGTACTGTTTGTGGAAATTGTTCCTCTGTGTCCTTTGTACATGACATTTCCTTTTCTTTTCAGAAAACACAACTATAAACTGTGATGCAACACCCAACCGACTCCTGCTGTCAGGCTTTTCGGATGAATATGAAGGTAAAATCAGGATTCTAGCCTGGAATTGCCCAATTTGCTTCTTTAATGCTCACATAGTAATTTTATAATCTGTATTATTAATTGATTTGAAATAATCTGGATAGAGGCTGGATGCAGCAGCTGCCTACATGACATATTGCCTAGTAGGATAAATGAATATAAACCCCAAAATTCTATGATCCAAGGATCTGAAAAGACAGAGGAGGCAATGGGAAAGGAAACAAGTACAGAAAATTTGATGTTCCTGCTTCACCTTGCCCAAGTCAGGATTTGAGTTCCCTAACAAGCTCACAAGGCAAAGCCTAAGGTTATGGCCATAGCCCTTAGGACCTCATGATAGCATATGTCAGGCCCATGCTGACAATCCACAGGCAATCTTTCCTGCTTCTGGCTTTCAGCCACATATGGAAACAGTTAGAATCCACAGCAACGTGGGGTTTTTTTCCAGTCACTGTTGAAACATTTCTTTCAGAGCTGTAAGAGCATCACTCCTGTATCTCCCTCTTGCATGGAGATAGAAATGAAAACAATTACCTTTCACATTGATTCCATTTAATTTTTAAGTATCTAGCAGGAATTCTGGGCCTTTGTGTATGTTAGATATCTGAATGAACCTGCTGACATCTCTGATGAATAAGCAATAAGGACAACCAGCTTCAGTTTTTCCTAGTACTTTTGTTGTTCTCTCTCTGCTGGAAGAAATATTATTTCCTAGGCAGATGCTTGATATATCTTGTCTGAATGTATCCAACTCTGGATGGAGAATTACACAGCCTATCAGCAGACAAAGATAGATTTTGTTTTCCTAGAATATTTTCTTCCAGCAATTCCAACCCTGCACACAGCAGTGTGATACCATACACTGCTGTGCCCCTGATCACAGCCCAGTGGTTTTGTGCTCACTGTCAGCTGACTTGGCTTTCTCCTCATATGCAATTAAAGCCAGTGTCTTTGGGCTGTGAGTACCAGCATTCTAGACACTCCTTGTTGTTGGAAGAAGACAAAGTTGTATTCCTTTAGACACTTGGAGACCAAGAAGATAAGTCTGTATGTGGAGATTAGAGATGGGACTGTTATAGAACGGGTTTACTAGCTTTATTTAGTATGATGGAGTACAAAAACAATGAAGGAATAAAGAAACACAGCTAGCAAATTTCCTAAAAATCATGAAAAACATTTGAGGTGTTCAGGAGGGATTTTAAGGGGGAGGAGGGATTATGGGTGTGCAATCCAGATAATGTGTTCCATGAGAAGATAAGTATGATTGCATAAACACAAATATATTGTTAACATGAGTAAGGGAACTTTACTAAAGTTGCCACACTGGTTAGTTTAAAAAGACACATTTCAAACACACTTTCAAACACAGATTTGGTGTTTAACCAGGCAAGTTGTACTCTCACTACTGAAATGACAGTCAGTCTGACAGGAATCCTGATAATTACAAATAACAAGTCTTCAGATTTTTCAGGAGAATAGTTCCTAAATGCATGGCTGTATAAAATCAGGTTCAGATTGATTCAAAGGTTGCAGCATTTTGTGTTCTGTGCAAACAGTAACAGATTAAAGGAAGGGCCAAAAAACATATCAATACACCTGTCCAGTCCTTAGAGGAACTTCAACAGATCTTATAGTTTTGCTGAAAATGCCAAAATAATATAAAATGGAACCCAAGGTAACCACTTGTCAATACACATGGAATGAACCTATGGATTTCTTCTCCATCAAGCAATATAACTTGTTACACTTTCTCTTACAGGTGATATAGAATGGATTACAGGTATCCCACCCGATGCAAACCTGACATTAAAACCACTGCTGTTCCCTACAAATCGTGGCTTCATAATTTTGGATCTAGCAGTGCAACAGTGAAGACTCTTAAGGCACTGGATGTTGAGGCTCTTAAGGTATTATTTTTCCTGCCTATATAGCCTAGGATTAGGTTTTCTTGACAGGTGAAAAAAAGTAGCACTAAGACAATGCATTTGAATTGTTTGTTCTCTCACAACATAGGTTGGTTTTTCAAATAGGTGACTTGTTTCATAATTTTGGATCTAGCAGTGCAACAGTGAAGACTCTTAAGGCACTGGATGTTGAGGCTCTTAAGGTATTATTTTTCCTGCCTATATAGCCTAGGATTAGGTTTTCTTGACAGGTGAAAAAAAGTAGCACTAAGACAATGCATTTGAATTGTTTGTTCTCTCACAACATAGGTTGGTTTTTCAAATAGGTGACTTGTCAGAATAGAATTCAGTATTTACCTCTCAGTTATAGCTGTTAAATGTCTTTAGTTTCCTGTAACTGTGAACTTTCTGGCATCTGGCAGTCAGGCTTTTTCCTAATCATGTATTGTAATGAAAGCTGTAAATATGCAGTTCTGAAAGATGTCACTTGTCTTACAACTCAGCTCTCAGTAACATGAGTTATTTCATCAAAGTGAGATTGAGCAGCTATAATTTGGCAGAAGGTAATCCTTAATCATATGAATATTTATACAAGCACTTAACTTCACACATGAATAAATCCATTTGCCTCTGCTGTTGATGCACAAAAGGATGGATCCTTCTTCCTAGGCCATTCTTGCTCTGTAGGACTAGGAAGAATTTAGAAAGCAGTATCAATGTTTATTCTGGCTGAAGTTGGCTCTAAATATGAAAATGGTGTAGTACTGCAGAGTAAGCAGAGACAATTTACTATAAAAGTACTATTTCAGAGTAGTAGTGGATTGGTATTTTATACACTGCCATTTCAGAGCAGCACTGGACTTGACAGAATTGAACCAGATATGTTTTAAAACCCACTGTTAGAATCAAGGATTCTAATTGTTGAAAATTTACTTAGGACATTTTCATTTGCATTTTCGTTTGGATATTTTCCAGCTGGATTAAAACACTTTTTCTGCTTCTTGCACATGTTCCCCTATTCTCCGTCAACTTTCTGTCAGGGAGAATGGTCAGCTAGTCTGGGTAGGTGGATAGCAGATGAAAGGCAGTCAAATAAACTTTGAAACTTGAACTACTTTGCTATATATTACAAGCAGAGTATTTTGGTACAGCACACTTGAGGATTCAAGTACTAGAAGTCATTTTCTATAATTTTGGCATAAAAAATCTTTGTCAATCGTGAGCTCATAGATTGCATAATTTATTTGTTTGTTTGTTCATTTTTAGAGTGACTTTGTCTGGTACACTATTGTTTGCCAGAGGATTGGATCAGTAAGTAAAAACATGTTTTAACGACCATATTTTTGGTCTAAGTTTAGTGCAAATTATTATTTTCTGAAATGCTATTTAATTTAAAGCTATGATGCAGGGAGTTCAGAGTACCTTGTAGAAGATAATTTGTTACAATCTGCCAATTGTAATGAGTGTTTTTGTTCACAGAAAACCTAAAGTTAAAACAAAACAAAGGATTTCACAAACCTTTTACTCCATTATAGGAAATGATAGTCTAACTGCCTCACTACAGTTTTTAGAACTGAGGGGTTGTGTCTTTGAGGATCCCATTTTATATGATGAAATAAAATGTTACACTATGCTGCTGCCTCACTGTTGTGATCTCTAACGTGTCTTGTGCTTCCATTATGGAGATTGACGTGATAGAGAATGAACGGAATGTACAAGTAAAAGATGTAAACGACAATGCTCCAGAATTTCTACAGAGTAATTATAGCACTTCAGTATCAGAGGTGGGTTATGGCAAATGGTAATACTTTCTTCTTGTGATATTTTTAAATTGTTTTTTGGGGAGGTTCTCATGTAACCACATGGATATCAGTTAATTACATGCACCTTATCTATGCCTTCCTGTGGGTGTCCATGCTGGGCTGCATGGACAGCTGGGGCTGTGGGGTAAAGGACAAACATTCAGCTACCCAACCAAAAATGGCAATACGAAGTGGTTTGCTAAGGAGGTGGCACAACTCTCCCTCCCTCAGGCTGAGAAAGTTGGGGCTGTTGAGCCTGGAGAAGAGAAAGTTGTGTGGAGATCTCATGGCAACCTTCCAGGATCTGAAGGAGTTAAAATAAAACTGTAGAGGGTCTCTTTGTCAGGAACTGTAGTGATAGGACAAGGAATAATGGGTTCAGACTCAGGGGAAATTTAGGTTAGCTATACAGAAGAAATTCTTTACTATGAGGGTAGCAAGGCACTATTACAGGTTGCCCAGAGAAGCTGTGGCTGCCCCATCCCTGGCAGAGTTCAAGGCCAGGTTGGATGGGGCTCTGAGCAACCTGGGCTAGCGGGAGGTGTCCCTGCCCATAGCAGGGGGCTGAGCTTAAAGATCCCTTCTAACCCAAACCATTCTGTGATTCCATGAACTTTCCTGCCCAAAGTTAGGAAAGCTGTCAGAAGGGGCTTGTGACTGAGCATTTGATGATTTTTATTTTCTCTAGGTAGCTGAAATAGGTTCCACAGTTCTAAAAGTAGAAGCCAGGGATAACGATTTTTCACCTGAATTCAGCATCCTTACTTACAGGCTTTGGGTGAGTGCCCTTTGTTGGAAACTATGAATTGATTCTTTATGAAAAATAGTCCAATAATAAAGGTGGTAAGAGAAAAGAATTTCATTGTTAATCATGTAAAATATCTGACTTATTAATTTAACAGGGTCCAAACTCTGAATACTTTTATATAAAGGAAGGAGATGGGAATGTCCTGGTGAATAAAACATTGGATTACAACAAGGTCAACCTTTTCAATTTAACAGTCCAAGCCAAGGTATGATATAAATGAAAAGAATGAGACCCACAAGGGTTCTGCAATGATAGTTCCTTTTCTATAACATCCCAGTTTCTGCAAATTTACAACTTTGGGAGTGCCCAAGATAAAAGTTGTGTCTGAATCTTGGTTTAGCCTACAGACAATGTAGCATGTTTTTAATATTTGAGGCATTGTTTCAGTTTCCTCTCAGACACCAGCCCAAGTTACTTTCTGTGTTCTATTTCTCTAAGTATATATATTCTACATATTTATTCTCCACTATGCTAACACATATTTGCCTATTCATTCTAGTGGATCTGTTATATTTTTGCTATGTCTTAACAGGGGATTTGGGTGTGTCTTTCATATTTAAATATGTATGTGTTTTAATTTATTTTTAGAACTATGAAGTAGTTTTGCTACTATTATTATGGTATCTAGCAAATAGTACAACTGCAGCAAATGTACTTTTACTACATTCTACCTGCCTGATATCAAATCATAACTAAGAACTACTACCTTTTGATACTTTTATTCCTAGAACCAGATTTCCAGAAATGGAAAAATCTGTCAGGATGGAAGTTCTCAGGTTAAAACTGCTCAGACCCTACAAAATACTTGTAATAATATTCTGCTGTGTTGTCTACTGAAATATGACTCTTACATTACAGTGCTTCTTATTTTCTTCTTTCCCTTGGGATGCAGGAACAATTTGGAAACCAGAGTGACACAGCATCATTGATAATTCATGTACAAGACTATGATACATTGAATCCCTATTTCACTCAGTCAGTGTACAATGGAAGTATCAGTGAAAACAAGGTAAAAGCTTTTCACTGAGTGCTCCAAATGTAAAGAGGTTATCCCTATCCATACTGCTGTTCTTCCAAGGATTCTTCAGCACTGAGCAGCTTAAGATGGAGGAATGCTTTGCTTTGTGCTAACTGTATTATCAGAGTAATCCACTAAAATTAAAATAGTTATTTATCCTTATTATCCCTTTGTCATTATCTTCATGTTAACACATTTTAAAACACATATACTTTTATGGTTATACCTTTGGTGTCCCATTTGTTAGAAGTTCATCTTCAATTGTCTGAAAGGAATAACTTTAGCTCTTCTAAAATGTTTTTATCTTTTAAATTACTGTTTTTCATAGGGATGCAGGATAGACTTGTGTTGTTTTTCAGGAGAGGAATGGAACTGAAATATTCCATGTTCTTCACACAAATTCCATCTGTGACTGCAGCTTCACAGTCTGGTGTTTCTCAACTGTGTCCAGCCAAGTGTTTTGGTCTTAGTTTTCCTCTGTAAAGCACATATGGCAAAGAAAGATTTTATTTTTTTTCTGGATCCCAGTGATTAAATACATGTTGGTGATTTCCTTAATCAAAATTGTGACTTACCTAATGAAAAAATGTTAAGTTCATGGGTATTTTTTTCAAGTTAATCAAGTTAGTGTATGTTTTCTAGACGGGCCCTCTGACTATTCTCCCAGAGAACATATTAGCTCGAGATGGAGACAAAGGTATAAATGAAAAAGTAGTTTACAGCATCAAACTGGGTAAGAACCTTTATTAGCTTTTAGATATTCACTTGTTAATTTATGTCTGTATTATTGAAGAGAATGATAAGGAAATGCAGTGTACATTCAGATGTCTTAACTGCATATACCTTAACTACAGTGCTGCTTTGTGGGCTCAATCAGCTTAATTTCAGTTATTTATTGCAGGGTCCAACTATTTCTAACGTGTTTAGATGTTCTTAACCTCCCTGCAATAAACAATTCCTGATTGCAAGTGTAAGCCAGTTGAATTTCTATTCAGGACCATCTAGAGCAATCAATTCCATCAGGAGCTTTCTCCTTCTGAAGGAATCATCAAAAGCTCACGAAATGCTTAATTGAGACCCTTGAAGTGTGAATGAATTTCCTAAGGCTTGTTTTGAGGACAGTGTGCTTGAAACAAAAGCCTTTTTTCTGGAATGTCTATTCATTTTTGCTATGGCTGAGAAGAAAACAGTCATACAAAGGACAGATCAGACTTACTGTTCTGGTTCATTCTCACTAACCCTTTGCAATTTGTTGCTTTTCAGTGAACCCCTCAGCCTACAGCAACAGCTTTTCAATCAATGCAGACACTGGAGAGCTGGAAGTAAAGACTGCAGTTGACAGAGAAATATGTCCATATCTAGTGGTGAGCATTCAGGTAGGGATTGTTTTAGTGTGTTAACACTGAGTCTCAATTTCATAAAGTAATAAGTAAATCCAAGCTGCTGTTAATAGTATTTCTTATAGTCAAGTTCAAGGGCAATTGATATCAAGGCTCCATCTTGCCTAGGAAAAGGCAAAATAAAGGAAAACCTCATTAATTGAAAAATATGCAGTTGTGTCATATCCTTGAATTAAGCTGGAACTATAAACTCTGTTTTTTAGGCAGCTCAGCAAGACAAGATTTTCAAAACAGCTGATGCAATAGTTGTGGTTACGATTGAAGATGTGAATGACAATGATCCAGTACTGTCACAACCCAGTTACAATGTCTCACTTGTAGAAAATTTCCCAAATGGGATGGAAGTTCTTCGAGTAACAGCTACTGACAAAGATGAGGTAAAAAGTGTTATGGTTGCTACAAATGCTGCACTTCTGAAATATAACATAAAATGCATTTTCATTCTACAGGTACAGTGAATAGAATTATTTTTACTGATGCCCTAATATACTTAAGCAAAACAAACTCAGTTTCAGTTCTTTAAGGGGCAGAGTACTGCAGCCAAATAATAAATTTGAGCTCTCTTTGGAACTCCTCTGGTTTGCATAAGGTCCCAAATCTGAAACTACCTAAGTGCAAAACGGGCACAAAGCTGCAAGTTGTCCTCAGCCTCTTTGTTTTTTCTTCCATGTTGTTTGCTCCTCTCCCTCTTTTTGGAACTGTAACCTCAATTAAACCAGAAAATTGAATGTTCTCCACCTCAAAAATAAGAAGGAAGCATTGTAAGGGCCTAGCTCAGTGATTGTCCTATTCAATAACAAATATCCTTTCTGTTTGCAGGGAGGCTTCCAGGGAATGCTCATTCTCACTCCAGATGACAGTCCTTTCCAGCTGAGTGAGGCTGGAATCCTAACTGTGAGGAACTCTACACAGTTGGATAGGGAGAGAATACCATCTATTCACCTACAGGTATTAAAACTAAGCCTGCTCCTTTCCAAGGCAGCCTGAGGCAAACAGGTGATGCATGCTCTGTGCTGGCAAGAAGCCACTTCCTAGTGTGGATCAGCAGCTTACTAGAAGAATCACATCTAGACTTTCATGTTAAAGCTATCTGGAGGGAAATACCACAAGTGATACGATTTACTTAGCTTGTCATTCTTGTTCATCCTTACTACTCATAGAACAAATGCAATAATTTCACTGTATCATTTTTCAAGGTCACTGCTAGAGATCATTTACCACCTTACAACAAGGTGCACTCTGCAATCAACATATTGTTGCTAGATGAAAATGACAACAGCCCAACCTTTAGAAATACACCATATGAACAGGTTATTTTTCTCAACATGACTTCAGGAACGGCCATTCTTCAGGTACTAGAAATACTACATAAAAGTGACATTTTTTGGTTGAATGCATGCATGAGTCCTTGCTTAAACTTGGGTAGCAGTCTGATTGAATTGGGGTCTTTTTTGAACTCCTCTGGAGTCAGAATCCATCTCTCATTTCAAAGCTTCCACCTATTGATATTCCTTAATCACAATGTCCTGGATGCTCTAATCATATCCCAGACCAGAGAACAAATGGTAAAGTGTCTTTATTCTTCATCTTAGATATTGTGTCCCATTCTGAATTCCATTAATATAAGACAGAAAACCAGATTCTCGTATTTAGTTGTTGCGAGGTGTTTAATGAAAACTGAATGTTGTTAAGAGTCCAGGAATTGAAATAATGGTAAAATTCTTTTGAAAGGCTGCTGAATGCTGAAGAATAGTGGATAATTTTAGATACAATATACTTTTTGTGATATAGAAGACCAGTTAACTAAATAAAACAGGAAATAGGAGCTGATATACATATGGAGTCACTATCAATGCTTATACCCAGGTGTATCAATTTAATGTCTCCTGGTGAAACCTCTTGAACAATCTACCTCCAGTGCCTTTGGAATTACTATGAAATGCAGTTTCTGAGATACAAACTTGGTGCCATTCACATGAGTTCCACAGGAGCAGGATTTTGCTCTCACTGCTGGAATAATACTGTGTATGCAGCACACAAAGAGAGGAAGAGAAAGCTTCCTTACTGAGGTTTAACTCAGGAATCATATAGGAAGTAGACAGTCAAAGGAATAACTGAATTTTACTATATATATATATATGGCTATATTTAGCTAATTTTATATAATTATCCAGTACTATTATTTGCTATAAATAAGAGGAAAAAACCCCCACAACTGATTCCTAATTATCTGCTACCTAAATACTTTTCTCTGTGAACTGCACATGAATGAGTGATTCTGCGTTACTTCATACAAGCACAAGAAATTAGAGTAAAATAATTAATTTTTTTTTCTCCAGGTTGCTGCTGCTGATCCAGATGATGGTATAAATGGAGAGATAAGCTTTATCTTAGCTGGTGGCAATGAAGAGGGATATTTTGAACTGAATGCATCCACAGGACAAATCATTTTAAAATCAGAAATCTATGACCCTAAGGAGTTTGTCTTGTGGATAACAGCTATCGATGGTGAGATTTTAGGAGAGGTCAACACAGCTGTTACTGGTGCTGAGTTTTGGGTTTGTTTTGTTTTTTACTTGAAGGAATGCTGTTCAAATGGATCCACAGGCTTGATTTGAAAAATACCAAATATTTTTATCTGCTCTTGTTTGTTGAACAGATATCGTCTTACTCATCCAAAGTAATTGCTGCATCTCTGGTAAAACTCTGCTTCCTGCCGTTGGTGTTATATCAAAACTGTTTTCTCTATGGCTGTGGGAGAAACGTGTGAAATAACATATATTTCACACCTTCCTTTAACTGGTTGACTGGTGGTGCACAGCATAGAATGCGGAGATTCAGGCAGAAGTTAGGAATTTATAACTCACTCATTGGCCAACAAGCAGTAAAAGAAAAGTAAAATGTGCTGAGTAATTTTTGTTGGCACATCCATGTGGGTAAACTGGTACTGCCAAGCCCATTTTTAGGATGCATATCACAAGCAGCACTTCCTTAGCCATAGTTATTCAGAGTTTCTTTGTTTTAAAAAAAGCAGCAGAGAACTCAGTGAACATTCATGATCTGAATAAGGACAGAAGTAAATAACCTAGGAATGGTATCCCACTTCTGGAAGCATGAGAATACAAAGTGGTTTTAACCTCATGATTTTTCTATGGTTTGGTCAATATGAGCTTTGTGCCTTCAAATTTATGATTGCCTGGATAAAATGGGTACTGGGGGCAACATGGGTACAAAAGGGATTCCTCAGTCCATCCTTTGATTTTGGTTAGGACCTCTTGGGCAGTACCGTAACAGCAGCAGTAAGGATTAAAAACACCAAGTCATCAACAGTGCAAAAGTGGTTTTGGTGGGGTTTTTAGCAGTAGGTATTTTGTGCATCTGCTGGGAAATTGTTTCCTTTTGCTTGCAGGTGGGACCATTCCAAGAAGTTCATCAGTGCCTGTACAAATCTCTGCAGTTGGAGATTCCAGACCACGGTTTCTTCAGAAAACATATAATGTGTCTGTGGAAGAAGAGCTGGTGGCTCCTGTTGAAGTAGCACAGGTAAGAACAACTTTATTCCACCTCTTGTATAGGACACGACAGATATAAGATAATCCTGTCATACATATGCTCTAAATGTCCATGTCCCCCTGAGTTATGGATAACTAGATACTGTGATTTCTGCATATCAGGCTTCATATATAGTACTGAGTATATCCCTCAGGTGAAACTTGCTGACAACAAAGGCTATTTCTTCCATTGCAAACCTTTAAACAGCATCTGCTACCATTTAATGTTAAAACCAAACAAAAACAGAGCAAAATCAAACCCCCACATGAACAAAATAAACCCCAGAGCTGCTTGAGAAAGTAAACTTTCATGCTTAGTCCTTTGTTGCCTTTGGACACTCTCCAAAGCCTATAGTGGCCCAAAGGCTGGGATAGGCAATATTCCCTCATCTGTTGGTGATAAATCTAAACCCCTGTGAACAGGATATGAGACTTCTCATCGGAGAACTGTCATGAAGGCATTTTCAGAGAAGGCTCTAGAACTTGCTCTTCATATTGATCAAAAAAATGCTCAGACAAGCAGGTCACCAGAATGCACTTTGATAGCTTCTTCCCAGGTGCACTTCTGAAGACACAAGGGAGGTCTCATACCAAAGCAGTGAGTAGATAATGTGGTTTAGTGTTTTGATTTATTGACTTCCTGAGTTAATTTTTTACCTTTTCCATATAAAGAAAGGCAGAACCAAAGGTTAAAGTGCAGTCTGTTATTTTTATTATGTATTATAGATATTCACATCTCTATATTAGTGATGTTCCAATAAAAGTTCTCTCCAGCTGTATTTTTGTGTATATTGTGGCTTGATTTTTAGTTCTTTTAATGAATTTTTATTAAAGTTTCTCTGCAAATTTTCATTTATTCATGAATTTTTATTCATTAAAAGAAGTAAAAAAAATCAAGCCACAATATCAACCACAAGTTGATATCAAGCCACACTATCAACAATAAAATGAGTTTGGACGCAGTTAAAACCATTATTCTCTTTTAGACAGTGGTTTATTTGTTTTAATTAATTTATTGATAGTAATCTATGTCTTACCCAGGTAGTGTATCAGCATTTACATCCCGATATCCCAATTAAGTTTCAAGTGCTGACACAATCGGCTGCATTTGTCATCGATGACAAAGGAGTCATCTCAACAAAAACCAAACTGGACTATGAATCACAGAAAAATTACACACTAAATATTTCCCTGTCGGATGGAAGTACTACTGACTATGCTACAGTGTTTATCCAAGTGACTGATGTTAACGATAACAGCCCTGTGTTTGATACAATCGACACCACCATTTTCATCCTGGAGAACAAGCCACCCGGAACAAGTGTCACCAGTGTGTCAGCTAAGGATGTGGATGAAGGCTTTAATGGATTAGTGGTTTATACTCTGAAGGGTGGAGAAGGAAAAATGGATATTGACACCTCAGGATTGATTTTGCTGGAAAAGGAACTGGACAGAGAAAAACAAGGCCTTTATAACTTAACAGTGATTGCCAGTGACCAAGGCCAACCCGTGCAGTCAACAGCTCTCAATTTGACAGTCATCATTGATGATGTGAATGACAACTATCCTGTCTTCTCATCAAGTATCTCTCCTGAAGTGCCAGTCCCTGAAGATGCAGTGCTGGGAAGTGCACTGCAGAACCTATCTGCTACTGATTTGGATGCTGGGGCCAACGCCGTCGTGACATACAGAATCGTTAGCCAGGAACCTCCAACCTCCCCACTGATGTTCTCTGTCAATGCGAGCACAGGCGAGCTCAGCCTGATCCAGAGGCTGGATTATGAAACCATAAAGCAATTTCAAGTAGAAGTGGAGGCATCAGATGGAGGTCAGCCAAGTCTCAGCAGTAAAATAGTTGTGATTGTGCAGGTACTAGATGTCAACGATAACCCACCAGAATTCAATCAGGCAACTTACCACATATCTGTGTTCGAGAACCTTCAGAAGGGTAGTCCTGTCTACACATTCAGTGTTGCTGACAAGGATGAGGTAGGTACCAAATTAATCTCACTTAATACCAAATTAATAATACACAATTAATACCAAGTGGTAGTAGTAGCAGATGGGCAAAGGGAGATTTCATAAATGGTTGCCACTAAGTATGTTTTGGGTCACAAAAACTTTATCTTGCTTTCACTGGAGCTAGCAATAAAACCTGCCTAACCAAGGAAGTTCAGACCTCGTACAAAATAGTTTCCTAGCCGTATCAGAGAAGCTTCTTTCCCTCTGCATATGTGATCCAGAGAAAGGCAGTTTTAAAAGCTGATAGAGTTGTTTCTTACTTAATAGGAAATCACAAAATTTGTCTGCTTCATAAAAGGTTTTGTTTCTTTCTCCCCTTATAAGTACATTTCATATGTAGCTGTGGCATGGGGGAGCTGCTTTGGACAAAAAGATTTTCTATAATAATCTTGCTCATGTCAGTTTGAAAGCAGCATAAATGCTTCTCCCAGTTCTCCTCTGAGCTGTGTTGCTGCTCCTCACACCATGGGGATTAGTCTTGGAGAGCTTTAGGGAGAGGGAATGTATAGGACTGAAAGAAGCCCACAATGACTTCCATATACCCTAAGTTCCTGTTTGCCATGGAAATCCATTATTCCCATAGCTCAGGGTGGAGGATCTCATTTATTAAACCTGGCAAAGCACTTTCACTTACGTAGTGAGAAATCATATTAAAATGTAATATGTTAGTATTATTAAGATTTTGCACTTAAATATAATTTTCATCTTAAATGAACTGTTTTCTTTTTTTAGGCTGGCTTTTCTCAGGGGCACTTTGTTCACGACAGTACTATATTTACTGTGGATATGCCTGGAATACTTATGTTAAGGAATGACACAGAGCTGGACAGGGAGACTACAACTGGATTCACTTTTCAAGTAAATCTGGGGACAGACTCTGTAGCTTTGGCTTATTTTTACTTCATTCCCTTGAACACCTTTATGTATCTCTATCAGAGGATAAAATGACAATGCACTAAACTAAAATTCCTTTTTTCTTCTTCTTCCTTTGGCAGGTGTGGGCAGTTGATAATGAAACGAATGGGCTTAATTCAAGTGCCTTGTTCCATGTCACTGTTCTGGACGTCAATGATAACAACCCTGAGTTTCAGATGCAGCCATACAATTTTGTGGTTCTGGAAGGAGATTACCTGTTGGATGCTCCCACTAGAGTTGGCCATGTGAATGCTACTGATTTGGATGAGGGAGAGAATGCACGAGTTACTTATTACTTATCAGCTGAGGATGGGGATAATCCATATAGCATTCAACAGGTAAGGGTTTGGATCTGCTGAAATCAATATTTAGGTCCTTACCATGAGGCAGAAAGAGGAGGCAGGAATCATTGTAGTCCACACCAAAACCAGCATGACCATGGAGTCTGGAAATAGTAGTTGATATTCAAAAACTAAGATACTGGTCAGGTGTTGCTTGGAATGTGAACTCTTTTGGTCCAAAGGAGAACAGATTATTTCAATCTCTCAGCTCTTTTGAGAATTCAGTGTACAAGAGTTATCAAAATGATAGTTTTGTGCATTTAAGTAATCAAAATTGCATTTAACTGTATTACCTTCTCTAGGATGGGACCATTTTGGCTACTGACTCTGTAGACAGAGAAGCTAAAGAGAAGTATGAGCTGCTGTTGGTGGCATCTGACAATGGAGTACCTCAAAGGCAGGTAAAGAGGAAGAAGTTCTGCTTTATTTGCACCTTCTTTTCATTCAAAAAGTGTTTTCTGAATCCTGATTTTCTCCTGTTGCATACCAGAATTTCACACATGTCAGCATTCAAGTACTGGATGTGAATGATAACCCTCCTCGGTTTACCAAAGCTCAATACTCAGCAAGTGTCCATGTGGCAACAGCAAAAGAAGGAGAGTCTGTGCTGTCAGTGTCTGCTACTGACCTTGACATTGGGACTAATTCTGTCATTTCATACAGGTAAGTTTCTGTGACGTCAATGATTATCTGCTGTGAAAGAAACAAAGGTATTTTTATTTCTCATAATGTATTTTTATTGGTCTTAAGAAAGACAAGAGCTGCACATATATACTTTATAAGTGCTATAATCAGTTATGATTTCTGAACATAGGAAGGACAGTCATAACTCTGTGGTTTAGAGCTTATCAAATCATGATTGCATCATACAAGGGAGAATGCAACCAAACGATAAACTTGGTAATAAAAACCCAGAGTCAAGATTTGTTTGGATTTCTGCCATTTGGAATAATACACTGGAGTTTCTGGGTAGGAAGTAAATGAATCTCTGAGAATGACTCTTTCACATCTTCTTTCACATCTCACACATCTTTTGTTTGCTGGGAGGAAGACCTCAAGAAATACTAAGTTCATAATTCACTATGCATAGAAAAATTAAGGCAGAAAGATTTTTGCATGAGCCCTATATCATAGAAAATAGCAGGATACCTTGACATGAAAAATATAGATTGAGAAGGGCAGGTGAATGAGGCAGTAAACTTGTGGATGTTTAAAACTGCCATCTTGAAAGAGATTATTTTTAACTAGGAGATGACAGTCCACCTTAAACACATTAATATTTATCTATGAGGGTTTACAGAACACTAGGAATTCGTAGGTCTTCAGCCTTCAGATGAATGTCAGCTACGTTTCTTATATTTCTGACTATGCAGCTGAGAGTGCAATCTCTCCCTTCTACTCATGGGAAGATCAAAGGCTTGGGGTGTAATGTGAACTGGAGGCCTGAATGTTGTCTTTTTTGCCTAATAGAAGACATACTTGGAAATAAAAAGGCCTGTTCTTTTAAATAGGCTTTTAAATAGGCTTTTAAATGTGAGTGCTCATTACAGAATTAGCAGTAAGTAGATGGTACTTCCAAGGTCATTAATATGAATTCTCCTGATTTCTCCTTAATCAGCCTCATGAACCATTCTGATGACTTCCATATAAACAGCCACACTGGCGAAATCACCCTTGGCAGTAACTTGGACCACATCACAGCTGACACAGTTGTTACACTGATAGTTGTTGCTACTGATCACGGAGATCCCCAGCTTACAGCAAATGGTAAATCATGTCTTACCATTTTTATTTTTCACATAAACATAACCCTTGCAAACACTGAAATTTGAAATGAATCCCATTGCTGCCAAGTCAAACTGAATTTAGGGCAAGAATCCATGTTAAGTTTCAGCAATGATGAATATTTGCTTTTTAACCTTTGATTTTATCCAAGCTGATCATATTAACAGAAAATTTGGTGTTTAGTAATCCTAGTTAAAAATACATTTATTTATTTATTGCAGTTGTACTTATTGTACAAAACCCAGGACTTATAGTAGTAGCCACTCTAAAAAGATGTATTCAAATACCATTGGTAATGTGTTTCTCTTTGTTTTCCTTTATTTTCTTAGAATTAGAAACATTTAAACCAATAGAAACTGGCAAATAACCATCAAAGGAGTTTCTGCTCTTTCAAAAAGAATTTCTGTAATTTCTCTTTCAAAATACGTTCTGGAACTTTTTTAGGGGTTTTTTGGAGGTTAACTTTGATTTATCATGAACAGGAGAAACAACTGACTTTCTTAAAATAGGATGAGTGTTAACAACAGAAATCAAATTATCTGGTTTTAGGTATATCCCTTCTCTTTTGCTACAAAGCAATTTAGCATAAGATTAAGGAGTGCAAAATACACACGCATACCCTTAACTTCAGGTTGGTGATCCCTGCTCTCCTGTCATAGTGAAGCAACCTCTGACTGGGGAAATTAGGTAATTCTGGAACATCATTAAGGTGGTAAAAGGCATCAGGATTCATGTTGCCTATTAATCCTTATTACTATTGATTTATTTTTTTCTTACTATTCCTCTTTCCTACATAATCATTTCTGTCATTTATCGACTAGCTCCTAAAAAATTTAAAGTAACAGAGAACAGATTGTGATTATTTTAGCAACAGCTTCACTATTTCAATTTGTTTTCTCCCATTAGCCTCTGTTACTCTCTACTTGCTGGTCAATGACACCAGTTTTGGACTGACTTTTGAGAGCTCCAGCTATGAATTCAGCATTCTGGAAGAGGAGCCTTCAGGGACTGTAGTTGGTTCTGTGAAGGCTCTGACTGGAAGCATAGCTGTGCAAGTAATGTACTCCCTGAAATCTCATCGTGGCAAGTTCTCCATTAGTAACCAAGGAGACATTGTGGCTCTGACCAGGCTAGATCGAGAAGAAGGTGACTTGTACAGCATCATGGTGGAAGCTGTTGATTCTGTGGTGCCACCCAACACTGCTGTTACTTTGGTATAACATTGCTTTTAAACTATTTTTTATGATGTAATATGAAATATAGTTTAAAAAAATTAAGACTTTAGCAATATCTTCTGTTATGCAAGCATGAAGCTTTGAGAGCCTTATATTTAATTTCCCTTTTTTTTCCACGAGGAGATATTGCAATCTTGAAATCGTGTCAGCTTCACAGATTGCATCACTTCCTGAGAGTTCCTCTGAGAACAGCTCATAAGCAGAAAGTGATTAACACCAAAACTGATTCTGTGCGTAGTCCTGTCAACTGCATGGGGTAGAGGAGCCAGAAAGCCTGATCATGAGTTCTGCTCACCTCTTCTCATTAGAGTATATGTTATCTTACTTCAGGCAGCTGAGAATTAAAAAAAAATAAAAATGCGGAGGTTGTGAGAGTGCTCGAATGCTAAAAGATGTGAAATTGTTACGCATCCCTTTCGGTTTAGGGGTTTTTGTTGTTTGATTGGTTTGGTTTTTTTCCATAGACCAAAACGAATCAAAATTCTCCTTTGGGTACTGTTTCTACACCTCAAATTTTTGTCTCTTTTTTGTCTTTTATTTCTTTTTAACATAGGTAACTGTGAAAGTTGATGATATCAATGACAATCCTCCAGTTTACTCATCATGGATTCAAACTAAATTATCAGCTCCTGAGAATGCAGCTGGTCTAGATTTGGGTGTATTTTCTGCTACTGATCGGGATGTAGGAGTTAATGCACTTATAAGCTACTCTCTGCAAGATGACTTTGCTGGAATGTTCCATATTGACAGTTCTACTGGCAAGCTGATGACCAAAAAATCCTTGGACAGAGAAATGACGGACAGTTATGAATTGAAAATATTAGTAAGTTGGCAAATTTTCACAGAATTCTCAACACAAAAAATGAGAAAATACTAAATCATCACAAGAAAACCACTTACTCTTGCAGAATTCCATTAGAATTCATTAATGAATTTTGACTGTACTTTGGTTTACACCCAGAGCTCTGTTTTCTGCTGTGTAAATTGGCAGCAGTGAATAAATAACCCATGAATGCCAGATTTTAAAAGTCATGCTCACACAACAGCTTACTGTGACATCTGCAGAGCATTCCTGAGCCCACTTTAGACCACAGAGCTGCCATACTGCTGCACTGCTTTTCCTGGTTTGCCAATCCATGTTGTTTGTCCCTTATTTTTATCATGTTTCAAAATACATGTCCTCAGACCTTTTAGAAAAACACCTGAAATATGATTATGCCTTTTTTTTTAACTTAAAAATAAATGTTTCATTCAACATCCATGTGGGTATCTATTGATTCTAGTTGATTTCATTGATTTTTGCTGCTACTAATCAGATAAATTATTGTGCATATAAAGAAGTGTTCCAGAACTGCCCATCATGTACAAATATATTTTAAGGATATTTTTACTGCTAACAATTTAACAGGTTAGGGAACTTGCGGAATATATTTTTAGAAAACATCCTAAATATTGAGAAGTGTCTTCTGAAAATTTTATAGTTAATAAAAGTGGACACTTTTTAAGATTAATTGGAAATTGTGTATATGTATGGAAGATCAGAATTTTCTCTGGCAGATGTTCATGCAGTGTAAAACTGACTATGAATTTGCCACATACTGGCTGCTTTTCATAGCTTTCTTTGTAGGCACTTCAAATCCTCAACATGCAGGGGATTTCCTTATTCTTTTAAATGCCACACTAGGCATATCTGTATGCCATAGTTTTGTGTTGATGAGTGCCACAGCTGATCACATGACATGTTTGATCTGCATCCAGGCTTGAGCTTTTGATTAATTGTTTATGCAATGAGGCAGAGCATGGGATAGGGTGAGGATACCAACTGCAGGAAGACATATGGCAACAAATCAAGTACAGGGCTAGAGCAATGTCACTGGGGGATAATTGCTCTGGCAGTGACAAAGCTTTACAATTCTTGGAATAAAATTGAGCTGGTAAAGTAAGTTTATGTCAAAGTAGTGCTGTGTTTAATGACAAATGATTTCTTCACAGGCCATGGATGCTGGCAAACCACCACACTCCGCAAGCTTAGTTCTAAGCATTACTGTAGAAGATGTGAATGACAACCCACCAGTGTTCCCCCAGAAATCCTACTCTGTGACTGTGAAAGAGAATGAGCCTCCACACGTGGTATGTGGCATTAAGAATAAACAGGCTGCTCTGCAGTTCCCTTCTTTATGTAAACTTGGAACGGGTAGAAATCTAGGATGACTGTGCATTGGTGAACATAATTTTTTACTTTGGGGAGCCTCTAAAATCACACAGCATGTTTGTTTTGTGTGATATTGGAGTGCCTGTCCCACTGACTCTTCCTAAAGCTCTCTTTGTGCCTCTCCTTTCCCTCCTGTTTTAAGGACTGATACCACACTGCATGGATTTAGTTTTCAGAGGACCTGTGGGTAACATGCTTTAAAGATGTTTAATGCTGTAGGTATTGTGCATATATCCAGCATCCCTCCGTTCGTAAGCTTTTATGCCTTAGAAGCATAGAACCACAGAATGGTTTGGGTTGAAAGGGACCTTAAAGATCATTTAGTTTAAACCCCCTGCCATGGGCAGGGACACCTCCCACTAGATCAGGTTGCTCAGAGTTCCATCCAATCTGGCCTTAAACGCTTCTGGGTTTGGGACATCCACAGCTTCTCTAGGCAACATGTCAGTGTAGCTGTTTCTGGCTCCATATCAGCCTTGCAGATGTGACCTAAAGGTTTACAGGATTCAAGGGAATCACCTCTGTGGTCAGCTCTGCTATATGTTGTGTCAGTGTTCTAGCAATGCAGTTAATGGCCATATGAGTAATTCAGTCAGTAAACACTATAAGGTTCAACACCAGCCTTGTATGTATGTTTTGCCACTCTCTTTGTTCTGCTCTAAACCTGATGGTTTGGGTTTTTGTTCCTCATTTAGATTTTGACTGCGACAGCCACAGATAAAGATATAGGGTACAATGCCATTGTTCATTACAGTATAACTGGAGACACAACTCCATTTCATGTTGGAGAACTTTCTGGAAATATTTCAAGTCTTCAGCCTCTGGACTATGAAAGTCATTCCATGTATACATTTATTCTGAAAGCTTTCAATCCTGGAGAGCCATATCTCCAGGACACAGCAAACATTACAGGTAACTCTACCACAGAAAACTTATAAAAATTTCTATGAAGTTGGTAATCTAGCTTTTGGCTTTTTGGCCCTACTTCTGATCAGTATGACTGGAAGTATTAGTTTATTATTTATTAATTGTCTATTACTTCTTGTTCTGTGTTGTTAATGTTGCTGTATGGCCAACTTCACGAATTGTGAACCATGATCCTATCGTCCAAGTCATGTACAAATGTAACTAAGCAATCCTGTCTCACAGTGCTGAGGCAAAGACTTGAGATACTACATGAATATGGACACAGAAGAGAGCCCAAATAAACAATACGATGATGATACTCGTGACAGACAGAGGTGGCAGCATGCTAGGCACAAGTGCTACCATTGTGGGAAATTATTGCTTGAGCAGTAACTAATTTAATCCGTAGTAAATAGATTAATCCACAAAGGCAAATATTTTGAAGTACAGAAACAAGGTTGCCATCTGTTTTAAACAGAAGGAGCTCCAACTCAATTCAGAGTAGCTGTGCTGGTTTGTATTAACTGAAGAAATAGCTTGCAACCATTTAGCAAAACTCATCACTCATGGACCTTCTTTCTTAGTTACTGTGGAAGACGTCAATGAGGAAGGACCTGTGTTTGACAAGCCCTCATATTACCAGATCCTTCTAGACAATTCTACAGTTGGCACACTGATAGTAGATATCAATGCAAGAGATGAAAGCAAGGGTTATGATGAAGACATTTTCTACAGTATTTCAGGTATGTTAGAAAAAAATCTTGTGGCTGTTTGTTACTGGGATACTAATACACAATGCTAATCTAAGCTGTATGACAGCAGAACAAAAAATGCTGGTCATAAATTGGAATGACAGGTTCTGACTGGATATAAGGGGTAGAAGGTCTTCTGTGAGATACTCAACAGGCTGCCCACAGAGGCTGTCCTTGGAGGTTCTCAGCACCTGATGGATCAAAGCCTTGAGTAATCAGTAACCAGAATTAATTCCTCACCCTCTTCTTTGAGCCAAGAGGTTGGACTAGATGCCTCACAAGGGCTCTTGCAGCTCAAATGATTCTGTGATGGCAGAATCAAGAGAGGCTGGGGATGTCTTGCTCTACATCTCATAGATTAAGATCTCAACCTGTGTCTCTTAAATCCTGCGCACATATTCAGTCACTTGTCTGTGCTGGTTCTGTTGAACATCTCCGACACTTGTTTTTCTGCTTTCAGGTGGAAACTCAGAAGGCCTCTTTAGTCTTTCCAGTACCACAGGAAAACTCACATTAACAAGAGATTTACCCAAACAGAATAGTCCTGTGTATTACTCCTTGAATGTCACTGCTACAGATTCAGGTCTGCCTCCTCTTTCAACATCTGTAAAGGTACTAAAATTATTACCTTCTTGTCTGCTTGCACAGTTTATTCCACAGATTATTTTATTCTAAACTGAGCTTAACTACACCACAAAATGAGTATCACTGAGGCAAAACTATGCAAAACAGGAATCAGAACGCCAGTCTCACTTCTGTTTCAGGCTACAAGTTAACAGTTACCAAGTTACTACAGCAATTGCTGGCACACCACCCAAAATTGTTCTGATCATCCCATTTCAGAAAAGACAGACAAGCTGTAGGTTGTGAGGGAGGGAGGAAGGTTAGAATGGACACTTCTGTGCAAGGCAGTTGGAGGGGATATAGTGGAAGTATGTGATAAATAAACAGCAGATAAGGTGTTCCTGTTTATTTTCCTATAAAACAAAAAATAAATTCTTGGTCTGAAGACTGAGAAATGTAAACATGATAAAAGAAATATTTTTAATACACAGTGCTTGTAACTTGATGGTGATGTCTTGCCATTAAATATCACAGCAGAATTAAAAAAAAACAACCCCAAAAAGCAACTAGAAATCTGTATGATAAAGACAGGTAGAAAATTATCTTCAACAACTTTTTAAATGTGGATTTACAAGCCACCATTCTTCAGAGGATTGGACAGGAGCTGTCTGGCATCAGTTAGAAATAAATTATTTTTCTTTTTGTGAAGCAGTAGGCATTATTTATTTACCACCTGTCACCGTTATTTAATTTAATTTTAAAATACCGTTCTTACAAGCTCCTGCTCTGGTAGTACATTCTCCAGTGGAAAAATCTCTTGCAAATACAGATCAGTACAACTCTCTGAGAGCTCTTTAGCTAGGCAAGTAATTTGAAATGTGCTGTGTGCAGTGAACTGGAATTCCTCTCTGTATTTAGGAAAGCATGCAGGTGACCCTAAACTGATGAGGCTGCTGGAGTTGTACACTAATGCCTTGAAAGCAGTGAAGGTTAATGTGTCAAACTCAGCACACAGCAATACTAGGCTTTTTCGTACTGCCCAAGTTCTGGACACCTCAGTAAAGAAGCCTCCTGAACCTGAAAACACCTCCTGAAGCCCTGTGCTTTCCTCTGCAGGTGTCAGTGACGATAGCTCCCGCGGACACGTCGTTCCCAGTGTTCTCTGAAGAAGTCTATCAGCCTCCCCCTCTGAGCGAGAAGGCTCCGCCAGACACGTTTGTTGTACAGATCAGTGTGTCACATAAGGTCCCTGTGAGCTACAGTATTGTCTCTGGAGATGAACAGGGTAAGCTCTTGTGAAATAACAGGAAGAGGCTGTGTTAAACAACTAGGGCTGCACAGCACTGAGCTTTTGGGTTGTTTCTTCTCTCTATCCTTCTGCTCTTATCTCAGTTCCACAGCCATTAATACTGGATGTGTATCAACCCAGATGTACAAATTGGATGTGGATTGGGTGTGGGCACAGGATCGAATGTCTAGCAGTTTAGCCAGAGCCACGTGATACAGGGCTGGCTGCACCAGCTGTATGCTTTGTCTGCTACAGGAAGATCAGGTGGTACCTCAGGAGGCATAAAGTTACAGTAACTGGAGAAAAAATGCCCAAAAGTTATTCTACCAGCAGTCTTTATGCTAACTCGGCAACCTTTTCTTAACAAATAGGAATGCCTAGAGTAAGTTTATGTGGGTTCAAGTGGATCAGTGCTCTGTCATGTCCCATAGCTGATTTTATTCTGGTTTGTAAAGTGTTTTGTATGATGTTGTGGCCTCCTTGAAGTTAGTTGCCAAATTCTTCATTAAGAACAGCTCTTCACCAGAAACGTCATAATTGCTAACTGAAGCTAGACTGGAGAGTGGTGATTGGATTTTCTCCCCTTCGATCCCTATCTGATCTTCTGAGTTACTTCTTTTTCTTGATTACCGCCCTGGATATGTCTGACATTCTTGTAAAAGTGTTGAATATCATTATTTGAAGAACACTGTAACATACAATATTCATATAAATAATGTATAGTTTGCATTGAATGAGTTATATCTTCAGTTTTAACTAATAAAACCATAACCAGAATAATTTCTAGGTGTTTTTTTTTAAAACAGGTTATTTCATTATCAGTTCATCCACTGGTATCATAAGAACAAGAAAAAATTTAAACCCAGAAGATTTTCCAATGACTTTCAAAGTGCAAGCGACAGACTCGTCTATTAGTAGCATATCCAATGAGGTTGAAGTGAATGTGGAAGTTATTGATGAAAATGATTTCCCTCCAGTTTTCACATCCTCTCTACTAGAAGTGACATTGAAAGAGGTAAGAAAATGTCATCCAAACTGGATCGCAAAAATCAACCTTCAAAATAATAATAAAAATAATCCTTTGGTGAGTATATAAGTAACCCTCCTGGAGCTGGGCAGGCTTGTCATTTTGTTCTGCCATATGATGTTTCAAGCTTTATTTCAAGCTGAAAATCCCAGTAGACAAAGAGAAATGGTCTTCAAGTATGTACATATTGAAGAAAAAGTGAATCTTTTACTACTGAGGGGTTCCATGAAGGAAGAACTCCCCCTCCATTTTGCACATTTATACCCAGAGAACATTCACCTGCATTCAGAATCTAGTGGGTGCACTGGACACCTCACAGACTCTCACTCAGCCTTTGTAAGGGAGCTTCATGCAAAGAAATAAAGGAAAAGTCTCTAATTTAGTAATGTTTCTCCCCTTGCTCATGTACAATCTGTTGTGATTGTTGCTGACACCAAGTGATCAGCAGCAGAAAGCAGCAAGCCAGATTTCAGTCAGATTTTCAGACCTTGTGGTAGTCTGCAAAAGGCACAGCCTTTAATTATGCAAAAGCATCTATAGCTCAACATTTCACTCTTCAATTTTTCACTGTTCCATTTTCAAGCAACACTTTTCACACTTTAATCTGCTGGCTGCCTTGTTAAAAAGAAGCACATTGGTCATGTTAATATTTTATGTAGCATGTACCTTGCCTTTGAGATACCCAGCTGATGCACACACATTCTCTCTAGCAGCCACATCTGATTTAAAATGTAGCCCCTTTGTCACCACTGAGCTAAATCATAGGTTCAAGTATTACAACTATTTTTAACATTCCCTGTTAGTTTAATGGAGAAGAGCTAGAATCACATTTCCCAACCTTAAAAAATTGATTTCCACGTGAAATATTTACACAGGAGGAATTGCTGAATGTCCTGTTGGATCAAGTAACTCCAGATCAGGTCTCAAACGACTGTGCAAGTGAAACACTAATATGTTCTGTCAGTCTTGATGCAAATAACATTGTTGAAAAGGAAAATTAGATTATTTATTTTGAAAAGAGTAATTATTAGCCAGTGTTCAGAAAGAAACATGATTTTGAAGGTGAGAACATCCATTGTTTCATAAGAGTGGAGGCTGTTAAACAGAAATAACAGCAACTCAGATGCGTGAGGTTAACTTTTGGGCTGTTTGAAATCATGGTGGTATTTCTTCCTGAAGTTTGCTGCTACAGGTAGAGACATGAGGGGAGGAAAATAATTATTTTCTTTAAATTACAGAAAACAAATAATGAACAAGTTGTGTAATTTTGATTTTAAAATGTTTACCCTATTGTAAGTGGGTGCAATATCTGCTACTTCCCCCCCTTCCACATAATTCAAGGAATTGCAGCTAACCAGTCTCTGACAGCCTCTATCTTTCTTCATTCATAGAATTTAACTGCTACTCAGATCATCCAGCTGAAAGCTCAGGATAATGATACAGGTAGAAATGGTTTCCTAACATATGGCATTCTTAATGGACATGGACTAAAATTCAGGATAAATGAAACAACTGGAATTCTTTATTCCAATGCCACCTTTGATTATGAAGAGGAACCTACAGAGTATCAGGTTTGCTTTACATTTCTTAAGTCTTTATTCAGAACTCTTTTTCTTTCCCTTGGATAACAGGTGACACTTGTGTTTTTGTTTAGCTTGATATTGCTTGAACATTTTCTGCCATGGTTTAGAATGTGAGCATCCAAAGATGTGAGGCATTATTAAAGCAAGCCACTGCCTTTGGACTGTAATGAAATTCAAGCTCATTGTTCACCTGTGCTTCACTTCAGTACATTAATAACAAATTTCACAGTGACAGCTCATGTATTCACTACTGTGTCTGCTTGAATCTGGACTGTACTGAGATCTTGCAGATATGATTCTCAGTTAATTTTCTTTATTGCCATTGCTACTGCTGGATAGTTCTCATGATCTTATTTTGCTTCAAGCAAAAATATTGGTTAACTTGTTGGTTCTACACAGAAAGACATTTTTAATTGACCCAAATACTCCTTAAGTTTTCAGTTACCATTTTGAGATGAATGCAGAAAGAGTACTTTAAAATTCACCAAGATTTTTATAATCCTTATGCAAGTGCCTCTTTGTATGATATCTCATTGCCAATAACTGTGTAACTTCCAGGTTGTGATATATGCTGAGGATGATGGAATCCCTGAGAAGAAGAGAGGTTACTGCACAGTGGTCATAAAGATCATTGATGTTAATGACTGGCCACCTGTCTTTGATTCAGTGACTGAATTCAGTGTTAATGAAAATGTGCCTGTGGGATTCATAGTTGGAAAAATCACAGCAACAGACAGAGACACAGAAGACAATGCCTTTGTGTTATATAACCTTGCAGGTAAAAGAAATGCCCTCACGGCACTGGAACAGCTGTCACTTTGTTGTCTATGCTGTTATGGGTATAAATAGTATTATGGGTGTTATCTCCTAACCCCTTTCCACACAAGCCAAGAAGGTTCAGTTCAGTTTCACCTGGTTTGGAATTTTACTAATTTAGGCTCACACAGCTTTCAAACTGATTGAGTAGGAACTTTGTAGATACTACAAATCATTGTAGGACATTTAATCATACTCTTAATGCTATTGAAAATCAGCCTTATAAAAAATCTTAAGCTACTGACTGCCACAGCTTCAATCAGAACTTAACAGAGACGGAAATTTAGACTCCTTTGGACCAAAGTCTGCAGGAGCTGAAGCAGTTGGTTTAGTTGTAAGGACCATCAAGAGCAATGTGAATACAGTTTATATGTTTTTAGACTTTTATGTCCAACATGCATGCAGACTTTGAGAGTGACGAAAACCAGTAGAAGCCAAGGCCAGGTCTTCTGGCAGTCAAACTGATTTCTCTTTACATCTGTGTGCCACTCAGTCCACCTTCATTAGAGACAAAATAAATTCAGAGACAACTCCCCTTAGAGGTCTTCAGGAGCACTGTCTTGTTACAGCACTTCATGATTACTGCAACCAGCAAACAGGAGAATGAACTTACAGAAGGTCAGAACACTGTAAAAGTGCCTCTAAGAGTTGCACAGCCTTGGAGGAACTTGGTTCCACAGCTTCACCCCAGAATTCCAACCTGCTGCCTCAAGCACTGTTGTGTTCTGAGTGTGGCAGATGTATCTGCAAAACTCATTAACCTGTTGGTTCATGTTTCAAATGCTCATCCACTCAAAATATTTTCTGCTTTTCTTCTGCATTATTGATATTTTAAAAGTGGTTTTGATGGACTCAGGACACAAGTAAACATATAATTTAGGAGTCTAATTATGCGCTTCTAAGATGTATTAATTGAAGATGTGTCTTTAAATGTATCTCAGGTGGAGGAGAAAACGTATTTGAAATAGATGAAATACATGGCACCATTAAGATAAAGAGCTCTCCAGACTATGAAACCATGAATAAATACAACCTTGAAGTGACTGCAGTCAACAGTAAATCTGCCCCTTTCTATCAGGTAAAAGATCACTATTGTAATGAATGGTGACTCTTCAGAGTGGATTTTGAACTAGTGGAAGGGAGATGTATCCCAGACATTTATGGTGTGGAATAAATGAATCACCTAATCATGTTTAGGCTTCTACAACCTTTGACCACACTGAGTAGTAGTATACTTTAATTACTTGAAGTACTTCAAAACTATGCATGGTAGGATTTGACCCTGAATTGTTTGCTGGTAACCTGTGCTGGAGAACTGAGTTCTTCCTGCTGCTGTTAGTACTGGAAGTAATGTGATAATTTTTCAGAAGAGAAAAAGTCTTTTCAGTAGATTGTTCTAGTTCTGCTGTATTTCTTTCCTCTGAAAAGATATTGGACACTTATTTAACAGAACTAGAACATGTGTGGCTCCCTTAACTGTATCTTGAAGCAGCAGTAGGACATGTTGGCCTCCTAAACATGTCCCGTTCTTACTCCTTCAGACACATTTCAAGAAGTAGAATCCTACTGCAACATTGAATTCCTGCCTCTCTTGTACTGCAATCCTGATGGTTGAGTTGACAAAGTTAAACCCAAGGAATGCAATATTTTACTACAGCATTTTCAAAGCCTGATTTATGCTTTTTTGTTGCATCTGCATGTAAGAAAAAAGCATCGCTAGATATAAGACAGTTTAAATACTCTAAAACGCATGAAACCTTTTTGTTTTCTAGGCAACTGCTTATGTCACTGTTCAAGTGATTGATGTGAATGATAATGCTCCAGTGTTTGCTCAGAATTCCTATTCCACTTCCATAAACATGGTTAATCCTGTAGGTACTCATGTCATAACTGTGAGTGCTACTGACAAAGATCAGGTAACTACTACTGTTTGATTCTGACACTGTTGTAAGCTGCAGCCCAAATATATCTTTCTCTGTTCCCTAGGCAGGAAATACCCAGTGTAGCAGAAAGTGAATTCTGATTGACTAACAGCACTGGAAATTCAAAATTAGGACTTCTTCTGGTTCTCCCTTGACTGTTGTACTCCCTATTTTTGGACATGTTTCCTCAGCTAGATTTGCTTTAATTTTTCCCATTATTATATGAAGCTGTAACATTCTTTCAGAAGTATATAAGGACTGAAGGAATTTACTGTCTCTGAAGTTATTTGCACTTCTGAAGTAGAAGAATCTATGAAAGCTAAGCATCACATATCTGGCTTGCACATGGAAATGTCTGCTTGCCAAACATCTCCAAAGTGTGCTACCCCACAGCTAATTCTCTCTGTCCCCATTTTTTAATGTCATTTTGTTTGATATATCTGTACTGCACTCATCAAGTAGTATCCAGGTGCTGGCAGGGATATCCAGTAGTCAAACAGATCACCATGACAACATCACTAGTAATTATCTCATTTAAAAGATGAAACATCTAGAAGTGACAACAAAATAGGTGCAGCGGTTGCCTTCTTCTTTCTTCACACATAATTTTGCTTAAAATAATAGCTGCAGCTGTGGTATTTTTTATTTTGTTTCATGTAAAAAGTGAAATTGCTTTTGAAAATTGCTGGGCTATGTGAGATTTGCATGGAGATCCTAATGAAACTCATCCTTTAGCTAAGATGTCTGGTCCTCTGCTGTGCAGAGTGGCACCTGTCCTCCCTGCGTCTCCCCATCAGGACTCCAAGGCACAGTCCAGCTAATCCCAAGTTACTTTCAGAAAAATTCATTTTCAAAATAATTTCACTAGAGACGTGTAGACATCATCAAATCTTTTGCTTCGGTGTTTATCCTACCCTTCAAAATATCCTCCCAGTTCCATGAAGTTGTGTTCCTTTCATGGCAGGGGCAAAATGGCCTTATCGAGTACTCTATCCTCCCGGATCCACACGTGAGCCCGTTCTTACTGATAGAAGATACAAGTGAGGGGAAAATAATTACAACTGGAAACTTGACTAGATCTGGGGATATCCATTTAACAGTGATGGCTAAGGACAAAGGTTTTCCTTCCTTAAATGGCACTGCTGTGATTACTCTTAATGTGCTTGACAACCGTCCATTTGTCCCTCGGTTTAACAAGAGTGAAATCAGGTGAGGCTTTCACAGTGAGTTATATAACTGGTATGTAATTCTCCAGGTAGTGGAAAACTGATAGGAAATTTACATTATGATTTATCCTTTATTTTCTCCATTAGCATTTTTGTTTTGGAAAACACAGGAGTGGATTATATCATTTATAATTCTACTGTGGTTGAGGCTGCAGGAAAACTGATTGATTATACAATTGTATCTGGCAATGAGAAAGGTGAGTACTATTTCCATTAAGAGTTAAAATAGCTAAAAGAATGTAATAACCGGATTTTTGTGTGGCAAGTGTTGCTGGATGTAAATGAGGAAGTGGAGAGCAAGGATAAATACTTGTGTAATTTTTTTTTTTTAGAAAGGGAATTGCACAAAGAATTTCTTTCAGAGCTTTTCAGCATTGACTTTGTTGACCTTTGGCTATAGAGAGGGTGGTAACTTGCTAAAAAATGAGTTCTTGTAGTCTTAAATTAGGATAATTTGGAGACTGAAGGAGCCAAAATAGAAAGTGTTGTTAGGAAACACCTTCCTCCCTGCCAATCACTTTTAGTCTATCATTTCCCTGCACTTGCACCTGTGTTAGGATGCCTTCCCTCCTGCAGCTGTGCTGAGACTCCATTTGGCCCACCACAAAGGAAGTAAGTACAAACTCAGAGAAAACTTGGAAATGCATAGAAAAGGAGTCCTGCAATAAGAAGCCACAGTTCTCTTTTCCATCTGTATTGCTCCTTTAGGTGTTTAAGAGCTGTTGGGTCTGGGATAGCAAAGGCATCAAAACTGGATTCCTACTTGGACAGTGGAATTGTTGCATTTCACATTTTTAATGGCAGAGGACCCTCGGAAACATCCTAAGAGCAACAAAGATACAAGAAGTAGGAGACATGCAAGTGAAATGGTAGCTGTAACACCAAAAGTGCTTATTTTTCCTTTCAGGTCATTTTAGATTGGATCCCAAAAGTGGTCAGCTGAGAACAGCGATTAATTTGAACTACGAGGAAGTTTCTCAGTATGTGATTTTAATTAAAGCAAGTCAAAGACTCTCATCGGCTGCAGAAGTCCAGCGTTCAGGTAGCTTCTTACTTTGAAGGACTTCCAGCTTAAATCAGGGGCAATGAACTCACCTTTTACATTTGCAACTCAGTTTAGGAATCGTGATTCTCTTTTACTTGTACAGTCTGATGTCAAAGACGAAAAGCTGAAGGTCAAAGTAGTGCAGAACAGAGCCAGCAGCCTTCCTCCAAGGGCACAAGCCCTCCCAGGGCCCTTCTGTGGTCTCAGGAAAGAATATAGCAGCTGGGCATTGGACTCCTCAGCAGGAGCTGGAGGAACCTGCCTTGGTGCAACATAGCGGTGCTGCCTGGAGCTGACTAATCCCACTGAAACCCCAGGAGGGATGGGAGAAAACCCCTCTGGGCTCATCCCTGCTGTGTTCTGTTTCTTCTCCCACTTTCTCACATGCAGCAGAGACGCTGCTGCAAAGCCACAGGCTGACCCAGCTTTTGGAATTTGGGCTTTGCTGGTGTTTGTTGTTGCCATTAACTTGTGCTTGTTCCAGACGTGTTTGCTGAGAACGTGGCCATGCTGACCATCTTGGTGCAGGACGTAAACGAAGAGCCAGTATTTGGGAATAATGCCTACTCTGCTCGGATACCAAACTCTGTGCCATACAAGTACCCAGTCATTACAGTCCAGGTAGAGTATCTTTCTGTGTTCTTCATGAGGACAGAAATCTTGTGAAAGACCTGCATTTTCTCCACAGTTAAACTGGGTTAAAGGAGCTCTTAAATCTGCTCTTGAAAGCTTGAGATAGGTTCTGCCCATCCTCCAGGCTTAACATAATGCTGGTGAAGGATGGGGTGTTCAGGGAATTGGGCCATACCTGTCCTAGCAGTGGGTCTGTCAGAAGAGTTACAGGGATTTGTGCTGTTATTATGGATTACAGACTGCTGTTCTCTCTTTGGCAGTGTTAACTGTCGTCTTTGAGACCTAAAAGGGAAGTAATTAGAAAAGAGGGCAGTCCCCATGTTTTTCCAAGTCTGGTGTTATCCCCTAGTTCTAGCCACAGGTGTGGAATCCTCCAGACTTTATGGTAAATGTATTTCCCCTTTCATACCCATTCATTCTGACAGTTTGTGCTCCATTTGGTGTAGTGCAAAGAGAAAAACATGCCTAGAATACTCCACCCTTGCAAAAGGAAACTGCAGTGTTTAATCACTGAAGAGCAATGTGCAGCCCACAAGCCACAAGTGGAGTGTCACTAATTACCTTCTTTAAACCCAGGCCACAGATCCAGACTCAGGAGACAATGGACTTCTGCTGTACAGCTTAGTGAATCATCAGACAAACGAATTTGACATCGATGAAAAAACAGGGCAGATTTTTACAGTTTCTGTAGCAGGAAAAGCTGGAACATTTTATCTGGAAGTCCAAGCTGCAGACCAAGGCACAAGAAGACTCACAACCCGGACAGCAGTCAATGTGAGAAATATTGTTATGCATAATCCTGATTTGCACCTGAGAGGTATAAATGCTTTAGGAAAACCTTACATGCGATTCTTTCTTTATTAGGTAACTGTTGATTCCAGCTCCAGTAGCAATACTGTGGTGGTTGTACTTACTCAGAAGATCAATGTTGTTGAAAGAAACATGGCTGAAGTAAAAAGGTATTATTGAAATTGTGAAGCTTATTCTGATCTAACATGTAAAGATAAATGTAGAGTCCTTTGGGATAGGGTCTGACAGCCTACAGGGGAGGTGATGCAGCCAGTGCCCTTGAAAAGCTAAGCCTTCAGCTTGAGGTAATGCAGAATAATTTGAGGGAATTCACATGAATCCACCAAATTTTGCCTGGTAAGTTTCTGGCCTGAGCTGACAAACGTCAAAGAGGTCATTGAACTAGACAATTTTGAGAGGTCTCTTCCCAGTTCAGTGTTTCTGTGATTTTTAACAGCCTAGGGTAAAGGTTTTCATGGATAGCATGATAAAAATGTGGAGACAGACACCACAAACCAAACCCAGCACTGCTACAGCTTCCTGAGGGGAGGTCTCAGCCCTGCAGTGCTAGATCTCGTTTTGTCTATACATAAACATTTGTTTCCATTGAAGAGGATTGAGTCCTGTACTTATGAAGGGAAATCACATTGAAGGTTGGAAAAAAGTGTTTGTGATGTTGATGCTATAATGGCACAAGTTTCTTGTTGGCAAAAATTAAATGGAAAACTTTCTTGGAAGCAGCTGGTACTGGCTGCTGTCAGAATGATGGATTAACTGGTCCAATCCAGCATGAAAATCTCTGTAGAAACAGGAGGAGAAAACAATGACGATTATGAGACTGAATTTCCCACCTTCCCATCTTTACTCTTTCTAATTTTCTACAGATACCCCTGCCTTGATTTTTTTTTATTTCCCCCTTTGCTAGTCACTCACTCAATGCTTTTGGGCTTAATATTCCTTTGCTGATGATATTCCTGCATTTTTAGATACTTAGATTAAAATACCAAATATCTGCATAGTGTTGTGTTAAATACTACTTTATTTGATATCCAGAGTAAAAGAAGCTGTCATTGCCCAATCAATTAAAAATATCTTCTTAATATGATGACAGGGTCCTGGAAGATAAACTTGGCTGGAATGTATACATTGTTGATATTTCTTCCAATGAGTTTGACAGAAGAGCAAGAAGCAGCACTGACGTAACCCATGTAAAAATCATTGCCTTTGATGAAGCACATCAGGAAGTACCCGCAGAGCATGTAAAAAGGTCTGTATGGCACAGTCTGTCTCCTGGGTGTCAATCTATGCAGCTGTGTTTGGTTTCCCTGGAAGTTAGGAGTGTCTTGGACTGGACAGATTTAGCTCAAATAACAGTTTAGCCGAGATTTATCTCAAGGCTTAAATGGATTTTTTTAGAATTCAGAGAGCTTTCATTATTTATCAGAAGGTAATTTTCAGAGTTCGTCAAAAACATGAATAAGGCTGTTTAATTGCACAAAATAGATTTAGAATAGATTTAAATAGATTAGTTTAAGGAAAAAAAAGCTGAAGCAGAAAGAATATAATTATATATTATATAAGATACTGACTTCAGAACTGCAGAACGTTGATTAAAAGCTAACACTTTAGGTGTATTTTACATTTGCTTCACAACATGACAGTGAGGTGGATTCAGAGGATACTCACCTCTCCAGTCCAATTTTTCAAACTTCAAAACATTTTAGTTCACAAACCCCAGGGCTGGTTGCTAGAAAGCAGTTGCTCCTGAACGAAAGGCATGACAAGTCTGAATCGTGGGAGAAATCTCGGTGGACCAGGGAGAGTGTTATGTTACTTTCTTCAATACTCTTAAAGCCAAAAGGAAGGTCTGGCAAATCATCCACATTTTCCCCTTCTCTCTTCAGAAAACTTAGGGAGCAGAAGAGTAACATTGAAGTAGAACTGGAGAAGGTATTTTCAGCCTCTGTTACTGCTGCCATAGGAGAGGCTCCTGCTGCCTCAGCCTCTCCGGAGCTCGTTGCAGCCATCGTGCTCGGTGTCGTGCTCGCCTGCACCTTCATAGCCTTCCTGGTGTATCTACTTCTGGCTGTGAGAAGGAAAAGGTACAGAGAGTTTTGCTTTAGCACTGTAATTTAGACTTGCAGCTAATCAGTTTACTTGAAAGCTATTTGCCTCACAAATCGCTGATGTTTGCATGGAGCAGTGCCTAAAATTTGCTATAAATCACAATGCCCAGTGTTGTAGATATTGGACATTGCACTGCACTGAAAGTTGTTTCATCTTGTGTTTGTCACATAGCAACAGCAGAAACAAATACTTTTAAAGGACAGAAATGTGGGCAGCAGAAATTTTAACTGTGAAGGGAGGCACAAGTAGCTGTAATACACCCACAAGTCTTCTCTAACCCCAAGCAGGCTGAAATCCAGGGAGGTTTTGCTGCTAACTTCAGTAGCCACAAAGGAAAAGAAAACAAATACATTTCCAAGAGTATTTACTCTCCTAGGAAGGCTCTACTATGCTCAAGAGGGCAGTGAATATTTACTCTGCTACTGTTATGGAAAGCAGAAAGTACTCCAAACTAACCCCCAGAATATTACTGAAAATAAATGTTGCATGTTAAACTCATGACACAAACAGTTTGTGTTCTGTTGCTGAAACAGCTGTAAAGTCAATCTTCCAAAAGAAATAACAATTTCATTTTGATGTATTTTGTAATTTTTCAGAAAGCATGGACAACAGGTTAAGAAGAGGGCTGAAGTTATAGAGGGTATTGATAACCCGTGGGCAACTGACAAAAATGGAAGTTTGAAAAGCTTAGAGAAACTAGAGCACAACGAAAATGGGTTAGTAAATGCTGATGATACAAACGTATAAAAATGTAATTCTGGTACCATAGGATTTTCCTTGGATTTTTCGCTAGTATATAGGTCGATTTTTAAGAACCCTTACAAATAATAAGTTTAAAATCTCTACACTTGAAGGAACCTAATACTTTTTAATCTTGTATCAAAAATTACCCAGGCAAATTCCTACTTACTCTTCAGCAAATTTGTTAATCCTTATGCAGAAAAAAAACTTCGGGACACAAGAAGCGACTTAACATTCCCCTGGGTAAAATCCCACTAATTTTGAGATCAGTGTATATGCTGCTCTCAGAGAGGTTGAGATTTTTGTCTCAGCTCAAGGTGTTAGGAATTCTCTTAACTCTCTTTCAGGAAAACTGAGATGATATCATTTGACAGCATGAAAGGCACCAGAGCAGGTGATGCTGACAAAGACAAAATTCAGGCCCCTGCAAAAGGCAATTACCTTGAGACAATACTGCTGGATGACAACAGGGAACCTGCTGAAAATGCATCATCTGAAAAAGCTACTGAACCTAGATATGTAGATATCCAGCCCATTGTGGAATTCACAGCAAAACAGGTATTGAGCTTTTTGATTGCAAAGTGAAAGGTATGTGAAGTAATCCCTGGAAAGTGTTCAAGGCCAGGCTGGATAGAGCTTTGAGCAATCTGGTCTAGTGGAAGGTGTCCCTGCCCACGGCAGGGGGTTAGAACTTAGATGTCTTTTAGTTCCTTTCCAACCCAAAACATTCTGTAAAAATGTTAGAGGAGAGGCTGTTTTTCCCTGCCTAGGAGGAGGACTTTGATCCAGAAATGATTACTCTCTTCTGTCTTCTGAATGTATACAGTAAAGGGTTCCCACATGCTGCTCCTAAAACTTGCAGCCTTAAAAACAATGCTTTATTTACAAACTTTAGAGACTATATATATATGTATCTCCATATATTTATATATATGTGTGTATATATATGTGTATATATATGCATGTGTTATATGACTTCTACTGTTTAGAATTTTCAACAATTTTGTTTTCTGGCAGGAATCCTTTCTGGCAGACACAACACAAAAGTCAGCTCTTTCCTTAACACCTCATCCCATACCACCTGCCCCTGAAAAAGAACTGAAAGGAGTAAAATTTTCAGAAGTGGCAGTGATTTTGGACCCAGAGGTTGGAGACGATCAGTCCGGAGACGACGAGTCCAGAGATGATGAGTCTGACATGGATGTAGCTTTTTGATGAGAACACTCGATGAAGAAGACTTTCAGGAAAACCCGAATTACGCTCATTGAAGTGCACAGAATTAAACGAATCATAAGAATACATGGGAATGCTATCCAGATGTTAATTCCGCTGCTGGCGCTGCAGGGGGGCTGGGGCGGCTGGCCGTGCCGCAGCGCCGTGCCGCGCGG